GCTAGACACTGGTGCATTACACCATATGACACCTAATCTATCTAAATCAACCTGTGCAGTACAATTAGGGATGGGCAAATACCCATTGGTTATGGTTAACTGCGGTTACCCGCCCATTTAAATTAAACGGTTATGGTTATGGGTAACCGTTTAGATAAATAAACAATTATGGGTATAACCGTTTACCCGTGAAATTTAAATGGGCGGTTATGGGTATTATTCGCGGTTATAATGGGTATCCATTGGTTATGGGTATTACCCACGGTTATAACGGGTATCCATTTACCCATTTAATTTAATATATATATATAATTAAAATAAAAATAAAAACCTCAAAGAACTCACAACTCAGTCGGTCACTCTCTCTCTCCGTCACAAACACATAAACCTCAGAGAACTCGCATTATCACAAACACATAAAAACAACAGCAGCTGCAATCCCAATCTCCTCCAAATTCCTCACCTTGCCCACCATTCTAACCCTCGGCCGCGTCGCCTCCGTGCCGATTCTCATTAGCAGTATGATTTCGATTGAATTTTGTATTTCGTCGCAAATTGCATTGACTGCAATTGTGTATCTGGCTGATTTTGAATTGCCGGTGTGGGTTTTGTTTGTTCTTTAACTTTTGTGTCTCTGTTGGGAGATCCAATGCAATCCGAGTACTTATATTTTGGCAATGATGTTGATATGTTGGGAGATCCAATGCAATCCGGAAAATATCGTTAGTAAAAATTATTGGAATTGCACGAGGACTTAAAAAATAGGGAAATGCATGCTAAAATGTACCTATAATGATGTTTAATTGTCAAAAAACGAAAATTATGACAAATTTTTCTTATGTAATTTTCCAGTTGTAAAAAAAAAAACATGTAAATGGGTGAAAAATGGGTAAATAGGTAAAAAAAAAAAGATAAACGGGTTCAAAAATGGGTAAACGGGTAAATGGTTATGGTTATGGTTAAATGGGTAAATGGTTATGGTTAAATGGATACACGGTTATGGGTATGGATAACCGTTTATAAACGGTTATAGTTATGGGTATAACCATTTATGCAATTTCCCAATGGGTAAATGGTTATGCGGGTATGAGCATAAACGGTTATGGATAAATAACCGCGGTTACCCGCCCGCCATAACTGTTGCCCATCCCTAAGTACAATGGTGATGAGAAAATTGCTATTGGTAATGGGGAAGGTTTAACTGTTAATCATATTGGTTCTGCAACACTTTCAACTCCACAACATTAATTATTTCTCAAGAATATCTTACATGTTCCAACAATTACTGTTAATCTCTTATCTGTCAAGAAATTGTGTGAAGATAATCATTGTTGGTTCATATGTGATGAGATTGTATTTTTTATACAGGACAAGGCAACATGAATGATATTGTACCAAGGCAAGAGTAGAGGAGAGCTATATGAGATCCCTGTGAATGTGTTTTCAAGAAGATTGGTTGCTCGTTCAAATAAAGCAGTTGCACTACTTGGGAAAGTTGTAAAGGCTTCAGTTTGGCATAAGGGGCTCGGACACCCATCTGAAGAAGTACTTGTTGTTATGCTCAGAAATGTTGGACAGTCTATTAGTGAGGATTCCTCATCTTCTGTTTGTTTTTCATGTCTTTATGGGAAAATGTGTAGACAACCCTTTCCTATAAAAGAAACTAAGGCTAGCTCTGTATTTGCAAAAGTACATTCTGATATTTGGGGGCCTACTCCAATCAAGTCTCAAGAAGGGTTTAGGTACTATGTAAGTTTTATGGATAAGTTCTCAAGAGTTGTATGGATCTTCCTTATTGTCAATAAATCAGATATTTTCCAAGCATTTGTCAAGTTTTCTGCATTTGTCACAACTCGGTTCAATTCTGTAATTAAGTGCTTACAAATAGATGGTGGTTCTGAATATATGAGTAACAAGTTTCAGTCTTTTTTGGCAACTAAAGGAACTACACATTCTATACCATGTCCTTATACTCAGCAAAATGGTCTTGCTGGGAGGAAACATAGGCATCTAGTAGAGACTGCAATTACACTTTTAACTGAGGCTGACGTCCCATTACAGTTTTGGAATTATGCTTGCAATCATGCTGCATTTCTGATTAATAGAATGCCATGTAAGGTTTTCAGGATGAAGTCTCCATATCAGCTACTGTTTAAACAATAACTTGTGTTGCATACATTAAAGATATTTGGATATGCAGTTTATACATTCTTAAGGCCATATACTCAAAATAAATTGCAACCAAGATCCAAGCAATGTGTTTTTCTTGGTTTTGCTGTTGGATATAAAGGGGTAGTATGCTATGATTTAAGTAGCAATAAACTGGTGCTATCAAGACATGTAATTTATGATGCGACTACATTTCCATTCAAAAAGAGACTGCAATTATCTTCTAGGAAGTCAAACAAGGTACATAGTACAAAAATGCCTCCAATCATTGTTCAATTGCCATGTTTTGCATTTGATACAACTACAACAGCATCTCCAACACATTGAGAGCCATATGCAAATCCAAAAATTGATGAAGAATGATCAAGGGATAGCTTGCAGGTTCTAAGTTCATCCATTCAAGATTCACATGATCTCAATGCTCATACCAATAACTCTTCTACTCTCTCAACATCAACTCAAAATACAATATCATTGTTGCATGTCCACAGTCCTTCACAATTAGAGGTAATACTACCAATCTCTTCTCATTTGGTTGAAACTAATGAAGAATCAATTCACAATATGGTCACAAGGTTGAAGTCAGGTGCAGTTCCAAGAAGGTCTTACACAGGGTACATTGGTTCATTTCTAGAATTACAAACACTACAGATAGATGATGAGTGTGAATTTACTAGGGGTTTTTCTTTCATTGATGCAATAAAAGATTTGGAGGAACCATCAACATTCAGAAAAGCTTCTACAATCCCACAGTGGCAAAGTGCAATGCAAGAAGAGTTTAATGCACTTAAAGCTCAAGGAACATGGCAGTTGGTTCCTTCTCCACATAACAGAACAATTATTTAAAGTAAGTGGGTCTATAAAGTTAAGAAAAATCCTGATGGAAGTGTATCCAAGTATAAAGCCAGACTTGTGGCTCAAGGTTTTTCTCAAGAGCAAGGCCTTGACTACTCAGAAACCTTTAGTCTAGTGGTACGACACACTACTGTGAGACTCATTTTGTCATTAGCAGCTATACATAAATGGGAATTGAGACAGTTAGATATCAAAAATGCATTTCTTCATGGTGACTTACAAGAAGAGGTGTTTATGAAACAACCTCAAGGGTTTGTTGATCAAACTAAACCTAATTATGTCTGCAAGTTGATTAAATCGTTGTATGGGTTGAAACAAGCACCTTGGGCATGGAATTCAAAGTTCACAAGCTATTTACTAGCTTGGGGATTTGTTGAATCTTCATCTGACATAAGTTTATTTGTGAAAAATGATGACAAGGATGTGGTGGTTCTTTAACTATATGTGGATGACATCATTTTGACAGGATCAGATGCTAAGAAAGTTCAACATTCATTGAAGATTTGGCAGGTGTATTTGACTTGAAAGATTTGGGAAGACTTACCTATTTCTTGGGACTCCAGATTCATTACAAGGAGCATGGAGACATAATTGTGAATCAATCAAAGTATGTTAAAGATCTTATTCATAAAGCTGGAATGGAGTCTTGCAAACCTGCAAATACTCCATGCAAGCCACATAATCAAATGCTATTGAATGAGGGAAAACCATTGCAGGATTCTACATTGTACAAAAGTTTGGTTGGTTCACTGCAAACCTCACCTTTACACGCCCGGAGATGGCTTATGCTGTGAATTCAGTGTGTCAATTTATGACTGCTCCAACAGATGTACATCTCACCTCTGTGAAAAGGATTATTAGATATCTTCAAGGCACTATAGAATGTGGAATTACATATTCAGCTGATACTGATATTCATGTGACAACATTTTTTGATGCTGATTGGGCTGCCAATTTGAACACAAGAAGGTCTGTGACTGGATACATGGTATATCTTGGTGGGAATCTAATCTCTTGGCAATCAAAGAAGCAATCATCAATCTCTCGAAGTTCTATAGAGGCAGAATACAAGGCACTTGCACATACTGGAACAGATGTGGCATGCATTCGGTTGATTTTGAAAGATTTGGGGGTTGCATTGCCTATTCAACAAACCATATTTTGTGACAATATGTCTGCAATAGCACTTAGTGCTAATCCGGTGTATCATTTTGTTCGAGAAAGGGTGCATAATGGTGATCTGTTGGTTGAGTATCTACCTACTGATGAACATACAAATGATGTTCTTACGAAAGGCTTACACAATCCAACGTTCACTCGACATTGTTTCAATCTCAAACTCGGTTACCCTAGTTAAGATTGAGGGGGGATGTTGACTGATATTGACTCAAGGAAATGCCACATAATCTGCCATGTCATCAATATTACTGTTGAAAGTTAGTTAGGACTGGTTTGGTATTGCTGTGCTTGGAAAAAAGTTGTTGTGAGAATAAGCGGTTGTGAAATAAATCAGCAGAGTGTTTGGTAAACTTTTTTGTAAAAGTGCTTTTGGAAAAAAAAAAAAAAAAGCAGTATGATAGTGAGTCTTTTCATTAAAGGAGCACTGTAGCTCTGTGTGCTTTGAAAAAAAGCCAGTTTTCCAAAGCTACAAATGGCAGCTTCAACTTTTTCCTTTGATTTCAGCTTATTCTCACAGCAGCTTCCAAAATAAGCCTTTTTTTTCAGTTTACCAAACACCTAAAACCCTCACAGCTTTTTTTCATGGGTGCTTTTTTTTTTTAAGCACCTCACTCCCAAACCACCCCTTAGGATGGTTATTAGTAGCTTAAACAGTAAGAAAGGTGGTTAGGCTACTAGAGAGATATAAAAGGTTGATTGCAGCTTAATGTTTGTAAGAAGTCATCATTCTATCAATACTACATCTCACATCTTCTCTCTAATTTTCTCTCTAATCTTTCAATATTATCTGTGCTGCTTCCTTCTTCTTCTTCTTCTTCTTTCTGCAACTCTGGTTACTTCTGTTAAGAGGAACTAATTAACTCTTTCAGTTAATTTTAATTTTTGTTAGGTATTGCCTATGTTACAATTGCATCCAACCGATTTTTCTAATTTCGACCAAAAAGTACTAAGAGGAAAATTTTACTAAAAATCTTGGTTCTGCTATTTTAAAGTGCGTCAAGGTGATTGTACGTATCCAAAGCTTGCTGATGACCTTAAATTTGAAAAGGAATTGCCAAACTATCTTACCATTGAAAGTTCTAATAAGTTGCTGAATCCTCATTTGTAACAATGCCAATGATGTACTGAATCTCATCAGCAACTTCCTTCATGGAGGGTCTGTTCTGCCTTCGCTCATCCAAGCACGCCAAGGCTAGAGACGCGAATTCCTTCATAGTCTCCAGCTCTACGATGCCAGCCCCTTCTTTAAGCCTAGGATCTACGGCATCCATTAGCCTCTCTTCTTTTAAAGTGTTCTTGACATAAACCACCAAGTTCACATCTTCTTCTTCTCTGTTAAAATCAATAGCTTTCTTAGAAGTCAAGAGCTCCAACAGCACCACTCCATAGCTATAAACATCGCTCTTATCTGTCAGTTGAAAGTTCAGGTAGTACTCCGGGTCTAGGTATCCAAAGGACCCCTGAGCACATGTTGTAATGTGACTTGATTCGGCCACGGCCAGTCTTGACAGTCCAAAATCAGCAACTTTAGAGTTAAGCATTTTGTCGAGTAAAATGTTGCTTGATTTTATGTCGCGGTGGTAAATCCGTGGCGTGACTGAATCGTGGAGATAGGCAAGTCCTTCAGCTGTTTGATGAGCAATAGTAAGCCTCATACGCCAAGTGAGTGAGACCCTATTAGCAGTGTTGTACTTTCCATGGAGATGTTCGAAAAGGGTACCATTTGGAATGTACTCGTAGATTAAAAGTGGCTGTTCAAGCTCAAGGCAACAGCCCATCAATCTGACTAGGCTTCTATGGCTCACTTGACATAGAATTCGAACTTCGTTGAGAATTTGATCCATGCCTTTTGTGTTCCCGGGCTGGGCTCTCTTTACTGCAGTGATAGTTCCATCATCTAGAACACCTTTGAAGACCTCACCAAAGCCACCGGCACCAAGAACTTTATCTTTGGAAAAATTTTTGGTTGCTCTCGTGATTTCTTTGCCTGTGAAGAGCTTGGCTGATTTTCCGGTATTATTGTTTGCATTTAACATGTCTTCCCGGGACTTGGTCAAGCTAAAATGTGCTGCTCTGGCAATTTTCTTTTCGCGTCGCTTGTAGACTATGAATGCAAGTGAGGCTCCAAGTAGCATTGCAACGGCAGCAATGATCAAGCCTATGAAGAAAATATGGAAAAGATCACTACCAGTTATTCAATGACAAACAGTATAAATTAATTTCTTATGGGGTTAATACTTGCCTCCAATGAATGAAGCTAGTTTCATTCTCAGTTTGCAGGGCCTCCAATTCGGACATTTGAGGTCTACACAAAAACACAGGACTGTTAGCTTATGAGTTGCTAATGGAAGATGGCAGGTACTTATATTTATAACTAAATATCTCATTAGAACAAAAAAAAACAAAGGTTCATGCAGACTTGTTAAATTATAATTTGTATGCAAATAGGAATATTGACTCCTTAAATAATTAAATATAAGTAGTCAAGTTTTTTTCATCTGGATATTTCTTCCAACTCCATTGCTGATGATTTTACTGGGAAATTATTTTATGAGGGTTTGGTCAAGTAAATTATGAGAATAAATTCTAACAGGGCAGCTGAATTTTGTGCTGGTCTCTTTTAAGTCTAAGTTGTATATCACAGTATCATAGATTACAAGGTTACAACCTTTGACTTTCTTCTGTTAATGAAAATATAAAATTTCATAATAATTAATTTGCTTAGTTATTTACACCATTTATGTTTATGGAGATTTTCAAAATGAGTCACAGAATTTCAAAATTTTCTCGTTATACATTTGAAATTATATCAATATAACGGGCTGGTTTGGTATTGCTGTGCTTTGAAAAAAAATTGTTTCTGCTGTGTTGTGAGAATAAGCGGTTGTGAAATAAAGTTGTAGAGTGTTTGGTAAACTTTTTTGTAAAAATGCTTTTGAAAAAAAAAACAGTATTATAGTGTTTGGTAAACTTTTATGTAAAACAGATGTGAAAAAAACCGGTTTTTCAAAGCTGGGTTTTGCAGCTTCTTGTTTTTGGTTTTTTTTCACCCAAAACTGTAAAAAAAAACTGAAGCTGAATGTTTACCAAACACAAAAACTTTTTTTGATACCAACTTTTTTCATAATCACCTTAGTACCAAACCATGCCGTAATCTGTTAGTTTACCTTCGGTATCTGAGGTGCATAGGAGCCACAATTGCACTAATATGACCAAAACTATGTGAATTGGTACATGTAATGCAAACGTGGCACCCACTTCGACCCTAAAACCGATCCTCATGATAGCCACATCATTGAGAAAGTCAAATAGTAAAAGAAAATTAATATGATTTGATAATATCATGTGTAATGAGAAAATATTGAAACATCAAAACTCATTTTAAAAATTACCTGAATATTATAAAATATAATTACCTTCAATAATTCCTCTTAATGTGCTTTGATCAGCATATAACATATTAATTAAACATTTTGCAGATGAGCCAAATAGGATATGAACATAAAAGAAAAATAAAATCTACTTTGGAATGCTAAAGATCTAACGATCACAGTGCTACAGTACTTGGCTTAATTCAAATCTATATAAAAGAATACAGTCAATATATTCTGTAGGCACTCTTATTAAAACCAGCGCATGTGGAGGATCCAATACGTGTTAGCCAACTGTATTCCAAACTTAGTTTTCATCTAATTAATAAGTTAATTTCCTTATACCTTGTTTAATTAAACCTGAAAACGGAGTTATAAACTGACTTGACGATGATGAAGATGTCAAACATTCGTGGATGGGACGAGGTAGGTCATCGTGACTTGGGGAGAAACTTGGGATTTTCCCATGAGGGAACTAGCTAGTACAATAACTAAAGCAAAACGAAGGGAAAAGAGACACATACTTCGACATATTGCATTGATGGGGTCCCATTCAAAACCAGTCTTGCACAAGCACCTTCTTTGTCCACTCCGATCTACCAAACACTCCGAGTTAGACAAACCCCGACAATCAACTGAAACCTTGCACATCGGCTCCCGCGGCGATTCCCACATCATCTCCACCCCAGACTCAGGCCAACTGTTCAAAGGCCCAGAAAAAGAGTCCAAATTGACAAAACTCTCATAAGCCGAACACCTTTCCTTCATAACCCTAATTTTGTAGGCATTGGTAGACCCACCAGTCTTGAATAAACAACAAATCTGGAAGCACCCGCAAGCGGAGGCAGCCATTGCGTTGTGCTTAATGTAGTCGTGGCATAAGCTATTTGATGAGCAGTTTTTCGAGAGAGTAAGCATTTCATAGGAACAGTTCATGCCTATCACTGTGTTGCTGCTGGTGATGTTGAAAGGGAGGTTGTCGTCAAGTATTAGGCCTTGGGATTTAAAGTCGGCCGACATGCACGTAACGTTGTTGGCTAACCCCGGCGGCCGGATAATTAGACGCCGGGTTAGTGGGTTAATTGATGTGATTAAATATGATGAGCTGTTGAGGGCGTCAAACCACAGTGACCCTGCATGGCATCGGACTTTGTAGTGCTGGTTTCCGCAGTCTGGTGATGTGCTTAGCGGGTAGGGCACCGGAGTGTGGCCGCAGTCCTGGCAGCGATATACTGTGGCTAAGTTTCGTCCTGTACAGCATAGCATTGAAACTGTGAGAATGAGAAGAGAAACTAGTCTGTTTTCCATTTGGTTTGTAGATGGAGGAAAAATGGTATATGCTTATGTGATTAGAGCATATTAATTTGGGAGCCTGTGGCTGAGCAGTCACACATTTGTTTACTTTTGTTATAAAATATAAGCTGGTATTGTACTTGCTATTGTTTCTCGTAGGTAACAAAAGGGCTCCTCGGTTTATTTTGTGGTTACAATGACCTTAAAATTTTTAAGTTTTCATAGAAGCCGTAAATGTTTACGGCGAAGATTCTTGTGTTCAGAAATGAGTAGTGCGTAGAAGTTGAACTTTAACTAGGTGGTAACCTAATGCTCGTGATCAGCATGTTTTATGTCATATAGTATCATTTGGCATTAAATCAAATAAGATGCACTAGGAACGTTCTCATCTTTTTCCAATCCAGATATCATTTATTCATAATTTAGAAATAAGAGTATTGCATGGTACGTTAGTTGGTAACCAAATATTGAAATAAAGTTCATGACTCTAGTATTATTGAAAATACCAAGACTCTAAGAACACCCTTTTAATTTCTTTCTTAATACCTTCTAGGAATCACGAACTTCTTCCGCAAGTGTAGGGATAAATATTCTACCTTTAAAGTTATAAGCACTTAAGTTATAGTGGTGACATTTTTATAATTGTTTGGAATGGATGAAGTCTTGAATTGGGAAAGGGGAAAAAGATTGAAACTAGTTGATCTTATTCTTGATTTTTCAAAGATTTGATTACAGATTTCAATGTGAAACTTTTTCGTTTTCAATTCTATACGTATTCGTAATTAAACACATAGGATATTTTAAGAATTGGAATGACTCCATACCAATATTGGATATTTTATTTTAGTGAGGAATCCCAACCTATAGAGTATAGGCAATAACTAGTCTGAACTGCTTTTAACAGATAAGAACTTCTTTCGCAAGGGATGGACTACCCGTCCTCTTCTTGAGTCTGTACTAGTGCTCAACTCTAATACCTTTTTAACTTTTGGACACCTAAATGGCTAGTTAGGGTTTTTCCTATTAATTTGTAACTGTTGAAACCAAGTGTCCCACATCGGACAAAGGGAAGGAGAAAGAGTACTTTAAATAGAATTACCCTACTCTAACTAACACCGAGGCATTTTGTGATAAAACCTTACACTTGAGGATTGTGCAGGTGATTAAGTGGGGACAGTATCGGTGTTGTTAGAGTGAGCCATCGGCCCATCTACTTGAAAAATTCCACAGTAACCTAAGCTTCAGTTGAGAGTATAAATCTCATATCAGGAAAATAAGGGACCTTATATGTGTTTATAAGTAATTAGGCTACTCTCTATATTGCCAATTGGTCTTCTTATATTGCTAATTAGTTTTATAATTGAACCACTGTTGCAATCAGGAAAATAAGGGACCTTATATGTGTTTATAAGTAGTTGGGCTACTCTCTATATTGCCAATTGGTCTCCTTATATTGCTAATTAGTTTTATAATTGTACCACTGTTGCAGTCATATTTAGAATAGGAATGTGATTGTGTAAATCCTAGGGAATCTGGGAATGTATCTTATATTCCTAGTAGGAGTAGATTACCTATTAAATGTTGTAATCCTAAAGGGAAAGGTTTTTACCTATCCTACTACTATAAATAAAGGCACAATGTGGTGAATCAAACATACCTCACAATTAAATCAATCTCTCTTCTCTCTCAATATTGCCGAACCCCTCTCTCTCTCTAAACCCTAGATCGTTCAATCAAATAGGCCTACAACACGTTATCAGCATGCTCTTACCAGAAGTTGAGGAATTGAAGCATCGTTGGAGGAGGCTATCATCCACCAAATTTAAAGGCTTATTCGTTTTCTGCTAATCAGGTACGCTTAAAATAAAAGAAGATATTTGAAACGTCCACAAAGCATGAAAACATTCCCCATGATGCATGAACCCCTTCTATGTTTATATTTTCCTTTCGATATATATATTGTATATGTTCATATATTTGTCAATATATTTGTTTCATGCATCGCACAATTAAATTGTTATGTGGAATTTGTGAGTCAAAGTGCAAAATTAAATTAGAAGCAAATATGGGTTTCCTAAACCCTAAGGGATTTGAAAAAAAAAGAAGGGGAAATTGGGCATGGTGCGGCACACCCACCGCACCACCATTATGCATACTGATACCAGGCCTCGGCCTAGGGTCCAAATGGATGGGCCTGCAGCCCTTCACCCTTGCACCGTGGCCCATAGCCATGCAACAAACCCAAGCCCGCAACCTTCATTCAAATCCAGCCCAGTTGGCTGGGTGTTTCCCACAACATGCACTAGCCTACAAGGTTGGGTCTTTTCTCTCGTAACCCAAACCCGCAAGTCAGCTTTCGCTGGACCTGCCCGTGCCACCCCGTAGGCCCTTGGGCCTGTCCCGTCTCTGGACCCGTGGCCTGCAGCCACCCGAGCTTTTTGGTCATGGCACCAAGCCCAAATTATTTTGGGGCTATATTTTCGATCCAATAATATTATTTTAATATTATTTAGCTTTTACAATTGACTCGGTATGGCCCGATTTATTGAATTAATTAAAAATGACCTACAGTCCATTAATCTGATAATGAATCCAAAATTATTGACCTGAAGATCACTTTTGGACATTAACGATTCAATAATTTATTTTTATACTTTGAACCGTCACATACTTTCGTAGTAACAAAGCTCTCACACTTGAGTTCCCGAAGAACCTCAAATCCACTATATCCAAATTAGTATATTGCATTCTGTGTTTCTTAAAAGAACCTCTCATTGTGAACTAATTGTTCATCAAACTAAATTGAACCTGTAGTTTCAAATTTAGTGCCTTTGAAACCCTAAGTTTTCATTCAAAACATACCACATGAAACCCGTAGTTTTCATGCATAAATTAAACCACTACATGTCTATAGAACATGTATGTTCTACAATATATGTCTATAGAACATGTATGTGGCTTACCATATGAGTAATCACATTTTCTCCCTCCATTTTAGGGCCATGTCGAGTTTGAACAAGCTCGATTTCTCCGCTCTAAAAGTCTCTATAAGAAACTATCTGAAGTGGGTTCAAGACATGAAGCTCCATCTCACTACAAAGGGTATTAGAGCCACCATCAAGGCACCTACCGCCGACAAACTTGTTAACGAAGCTTAGTAGGCTACTGTAATGATCTTCATCCGAAGACACATTCATGATGCACTGCAACCTGAGTATCTCACTGAAGAGGACCCACGCACCCTCTGGCTTGCTATGGTCGACCGTATCGATCACCAGAAAGACATATACTTGCCTGAAGCAAGACACGACTGGCAGCATCTTCACTTCCAGGACTTTAAGTCCAAAAATGAATACAACTTTGAAGTTTGTAGAATCTGTTCTCTGTTGAAATTCTGCAAAGTGGAACTAACCAAATCAGATCTTGAAGAATACCTATTCGACCTTCCATGCCACCAATATTGTTCTGCAGCAACAATATAGGGCATAGAAATTCACCAAGTTTTCGGATTTGATCTTTGCTTTACTTCTCACTGAAAAGTAGAACCAACTTTTGATGAAGAATCATCAAGCTCGACCTACTGGCTCGAACGCTGCGCCTGAAGAGCTTGCGACCTATTCTAATAGTCATGAACAACGAAAGAACTGTCGTGGTCATGGCAATGGGTGGTAAGCCCAACCATGGGCCCAAGGTTAAAAGATTGTCGTACCTACGGGAAGAAATGTGACACAGCAGCGTCCACCACTCACCCCTAAGGTCCCAAACTTAGGGGTCATTAGTCACGCGTATGCCAAACTTCCCCTGAGGCTATTGCCAAATATCATTCTTGTCATGAGTCTAACTTTGTACATGTGGATCATCCGAAAGATGCAACTACATCAATAGAGATATCGGATTTCCAGTAAGCGTCAGCACCTATGGATGAATAAATTAGACATGTTTTTTGGGTGTCTACCCCTAGTGGTTGAACACACTAGGAGTGGCTAGCCCTACCTCCCCCTTTTTTGCTAGGTTTATGGTTTAATTTTGAACACTTTTTTTATGTATTTGGAATAATTTGTATGGTTTGGTTTGTTTTGAATTATGGATTGTTATTTGAATGGATATTATTTCTTGAATTGCTTAATTGAATTAATGGACTTATATTTATACATGTGACCAATTTAATCAATTTATTTCTAGGTATGTCTAGTGGGGAAGTTAGTTGTCTAGCAGATAGTGCAACCACGCATACCATCTTGAGTGAACGACACTATTTTACTAACTTAATACCCAAGAAAGCTCATTTGACAACTCTCTCAGGTCCATCCAACCTGATTGAAGGATACGAAAAAACACGTATCATGTTATCTAATGGTACAATCTTAACCATTAAGGAGGCACTCTATTCTCCACGTTTTGAAAGAACGTTGCTGAGTTTTAGAGATATTCGAGATAATAAATATCATCTTGAAACCACTGAAGATCATGGTTCTGAATTTCTTTGTCTCACTTCATATGAATATGGCCAAAACCATATTCACAAGAAGTTGGAACACTTGTCGAATGGGTTGTACATCACAACCATTCGCGGCATAGAAGCCCATAGTGTGGCCGGCCCTATGCCTGAGTTCCCAGACACTTTGTTGCTTTGGCATGATTGTTTGGGACATCCTGGACGTGACATGATGCAGCCGTATCCTCAAATCTTCACACGGGCATAAGTTACATCCCTATGTTGGACCCTCACCATGCAAATCATGTTCTTTAGGGAAGTTAAATACTCAACCCTCATATACAAAGATTATTCATGATCCCCTAAATTTCTTCAAATGATTCAAGGGGACATTTTTGGATGAATCCAACCAACTTGCGGACCATTTAAATATTTTATGGTGTTGGTTGATGCATTGACAAGATGGTCACATGTTTGCTTGTTGTCCACACATAACGCCGCGTTTGCTAAACTCCTAGCTCAAATCATTAAGCTAAAGGCTCACCACCCTGATTATCCGATCAAGTTGATTCAACTGGATAACGTTGAAGAGTTTACGTCACAGACTTTTAACGATTATTGCATGTCAGTAAGAATTAATGTGGAACATCTTATGCCC